GAAAAGGTGCGTCAAGTTCCCCACTCATTTTTAATGCAAAAAAAAATATATATATTATATCATTACTGCATTTGTAGATTAAGTCTTGAAATAATTGATTGGCAGTCTAATTTAACTCAATTCATAAAAAGGGATTCACTATCGAAACACTAATAGAAGTTGGGCCACGCACTCCAGAAGAGGTCAAAGCTAATTAACCCAACATATTCGCACTCCCAAAGAGTCGAACCTAACTCACTCTTATGAAACGAGCTGCCTTTACCACGAGGCCATCACCCATGATGGTCAAGTTCCACTTTGATATATGATCAAATTGAAAAATATATTTTGTTAATGTCGAATATTTTTCATTTTTATAAATAAAATTATTTTGTAATTTTAATATAAATATTTTGATTAAACTTATAAAAATATATTAATATTTGCCTCCCTAAATCACAGTTCTGATTTCGTCCCTGATAGTGCCCATATTTTTTTTATAATTCTTTAATTATTATTTTCTCTTCATATATACATCACATTTTTATTTAACAAACATTTTAATTAATCTATTAAAATATTCATTCACTCTCCAAATTTTTAAACACTTGACACACCAAAATTGCGATTCACTGAGCAATGTGAACGCATTAATGAAAGAGCTGGCACTTGGTGGTTCAAGGAATCAATCAAAGTGCATGATTTTGAGTGAGAAAATCCCAAATCTGATCTCATCTCAGTTAGATAATTACATGTATTTAAAAAATGGTACTAATAAATTATAAATACCCATAATTCAGTTCCAATATAATAGTATAATAAAATGAAGGTAGAGATTGTGCCACGTTGTGCCCTTAACGGGCCATTGAGGGTATATGATTAAAGGAGACTACCATTCTATTTTGTGGATTTCATCTTCCAACCCACAATAATGATTCAATCTATTCATCTTGTAATGAAAAATATTTATATAAAATATTAATATAATCGGATATTATTAGATACATGAACAAATTATATATTGTATTTTAAAATGGATGACAATTATGAGTTTAAACTTAAATCGTCTATTTTATAGAATAAAATGTAATTTTTTTATTTATTTATCAATATTTGATGAAGTTATTTTTTTGCACAAATAATCTTCACTATGAGATTTACAAGATAAATAGTTCAGATTATTATTATAGACCTAAAATAGGAGGCACAAAATGAAATATGGTGAGTGTTTGGGAAGTGATTATTTTTTAGATTTTTTTGCTATTTTAATAGGCTATTTTAGTTTTTGTGTTTGGAAAGATGGATTGAATTTTTATTTGAGTTGTTATATTAAAAAATATGTTTGAAATGATGTGGGATAGTAAATGACCAAAATGCCCCCGTGTGTATTGTTGCTGCTGGCGTGGGTTTCTCAAAAATTAAAAGGGCAAAAGCGTCATTTTACAGCTTGTCAATTACAGCTTTGAAATGATTGGGATAGTAAATGACCAAAATGCCCCTGTGTGTATTGCTGCTGCTGCTGCTTCTCAAAATTAAAAGGGCAAAAGAGTCATTTTATACTCTGTCCATTACAGCTGTGCATCATGTGGGAAGTGATGACCAACAGTATAGCTTTTTGGATTTTTTTCCTCAAGAGGCTACAATGGCCTGGATTTCCGTTTGCCAAACAACGCCATGAAATAGTATAAAAGATATTGGTATAATGATGAGTAATTCTTAAAATGACATATGAAGGATATAAAAGATAATTTTGCTGCAGCTTCTTCTAAATTAAAAATTAATAATTAAGAAAGAGAAATTAAAACCATCTCTTCATTAGTTGTCCAATAATTAACTTTGTTCAACTTAAAGCTATTTTTTCTCATAAAACACTCTAATGTGAACACTCCAAAAACATAAATAAATAAATTATAAACAAAGTTATATTGGGTATCTCAAATAATATTAAATTTTCTACCAAATTTCTCACATGAGTGTAAGACCCATATTAATTTATAGCATTTTCCTTATAAAAAACATGAACTTAAGCTTATTTAGAAGAGGGGCCCCTCAGATAATTTGAAGAGTGTCCCTTCAAAAAACAAAAACAAAAACAAAATTTGCCAATAGGTCCACCTCACCTCACATTCTATATACATTTTTATCTCTATGATTCTATCCACATGTTATCCAAATGAAAAGGACTGGAATAATTATATATTTGGGTCAATTTCCGCTTGTCCGTTAAACTATTTTTATTTTTTCTACTATATCCCTAAACTATCAATTTCGTCTATTCAATCCATAAAGTTTCTAATTTCGGTTCATGTGGTCTAATCGGAGACAAATCAATAATCGTTAAACTCTAATTTAATGGAAGAAAAAGTTATTTTAGAAAATTAGCAAATTTAAATTATATAACAAAACCCTCATTTTTCTTATTATTTTGAACAAACTACACTTCACAACCAATTTAATGGGTGTTTGTTTGTATCATTTAAGTTATCTAAATTATAAAATTGTCTTTTTACCCATCAAATTAAGATTTAACGATTACTGATTTATACACTCGTCTCTAATTAAACCACATAGACAAAAATCAAAAACTTTAGGTACTACTTAGACAAAATCAAAACTGTAGAGATGAATTAGATTAACTAGTGATTGTTCAGGGAATAAAAGTAAAATTGAATTTTTACATTTATTATTCTAATTTATAGGGATCATTTTTCTCATAGTGCCATCAAGCTTCGGATTGGTTCGGGCTAGGGCTAATCCTAATTAGTATCAAATCGATCTGATTGAATTTGTTATGTTTAGACCCAAAACCAAAACAACTCAACTGATAGAGATCGAGTTATTTTGACTCTCAAGTATTTTGGGACTCTTGTGCAACCCTACCCGTGGCCGGTAGCTTTGTTCTTTAATACTTTGTCTCTCATTTGTGTAGTTCTCTGCTTCATTAAAAATAATTTTCCAAAAGTGATGAAAACTAGGCTATTCAAATGTCCTTTAGCTACTCAAATCAAAAAGTTTAGCATCAATTAAAACATTGAAGGAATGCTTGGTTGTGAAGAAGATGATATAATTTTTTTGGTTATACCTTATATAATTAAATAATGTCACTCTTAAAATTTTGACCTTCTAGGGGACAAAAGTTGAAGAGTTTAGGTGAACTGAAAGATGGATACGCACAACTTACAAGGACGAGTCAATCAAGGAGAAGAGAGAGAGAAAGAGAGAATAAGGACAAAAGCCATCCATGAATCATATTTAAGAATAAATATTGAATATAATGGTGACACTATATGACGTATATCACCATATCGAAACGTCCTTTCTATTCCCAATTTGACAATGAATGCTCCTTTCCAAGACTTTCCTTTCTAAGATGAAGTTCTCTAACAAGAAGAGCTCTTAGGATGCGACTTTCCTTCCTAAGATGAACTTCTCTAACAAGAGCTCTTATGCTGTATTTGGTTGCAGAATTTAAGGAGGGATTTGGAAAGAAAAATAGAAAAGGTAGGTGAAATGTGAATAAAGCATACTTATATTTCATATAGTTTCACACACCTTTTCCCTTTCCCTTTCTTTTTTCCTCCCTAAATCCTCCAACCAAACACAGCATTAGGATGCAAATTGGACTGAAAAAAAAAAAAGAGGATTGGCAATATTTGGCTCGGGAAAAAAATTGATTTTTAAATTTTTTTTTTTGACAAGAGAGAGTCAAGACATGTCAATATCCTTCAACTTTGTTTGGCCAATAGGGTTAGATTAAGAGAGATAGGTCTCTTAATCCAAGTCCCCATTTTGAGGGGGGTTTGCAACGTACTTCCTAACTAAGCCAATGAATTGATCTTTTGTCCTGATTGCCGGCCCACAGGAAATTAAAGAGAATGGAAGAGATTTTGCTACAAACATATTTGGGAAAAGGATAAATGGACAAATAGTAAATCAATTAAAGGGACCAAAACTAACTTGATGAGAGTGATTCTTTCTTCTTTATTAAGAAGAAAAGACATCCAAGCATGGCATTTGGATCTCACCCTTTCAATGAGATCCTTCATTTTGCTCATATGTCAAAATTAATCTCTAAATACATCCCAAAGTTATCAGAGCTAGAGGTATGCCACGATGTTGTGAAAGGGACTCTTGCATGCCAAAAGGCATAGGGGGAGTAGCAAAGAGATTGTGCTTGTGAAGATTAATAACAAAGAGATTGTAAGTGTCCAAAACCAATTTCAAATTTTGACTAGAATTGGGGGTGATTTTAAAGAAGAGGAAGTCTTCTTCTGCAAAAAGATGGGGAAATAGGGGGGGCAGACCTAGAAACTTTAGGCCTTAAACCAGGGTAAAGATTCAACTCGGTAAAACCTTATGTCCAAACCAGAACAGATTCTACTACTTATAACTCATATTCCTATTAAGAAGATGCAAACAGATCATTTGAGAATAATCATTGGCGTTACCCCAATGGTTAGAGCTCATACACCTTATTAGATCATGGGTTCCGACTCCGTACCCAAAAAAAAAAAAAAAAAAAAGAAGAAGAAATAAGAAAATAGTAAAAAAAAAGAACATTTGAGGCAATAGATCATCAGGTCATGTTGAGCACTTAACGGTATATAAGCTTTCTAACAAAGTAATCATCATCTGTAAAACTAAATCTACAGTTAGGAGAAGAGTAAAACATCAACCTCTAAATTCAACATCTGCTTTCAAGAAAAGAAAAATTTACAACGCAAGAACCCCACAAAGATATTACTCAATGTTGTCACTGCTACAACCCCATTCAAGATGTCACAAATGATATTACTCATGTTGATGATGATTATCCATAAAAAATCAAACATGAGTCCACAAGTTTGTGCTCCATCGATGCCACTTAATACAGCTTAAATTACTCACTACATGAATCTATATAAACACAGCATGCTAAATTAATAATCAGCATAATATAAGTTGAATGAAGCACATGCAACCAGCCTAATTTCATACAAAGCACCATTACTCTTCTACGTATACACACAAGCACATACACATACACAAGTAAAACCACTTTCTATTAAGAAATTGTACAACTATGAACTTTGTCAGCACTGACACAGAAAAAACACTACTGGGACTTCTCTGCAGAACAAGAGTACTAGTATACTTTGCCCGAAAACAAACACAGCCTTAGGGTCTATACTAGTAAAAAAAAAAAACTAAGTTTAACAACGGTCAGTCTGTTTTTGCCATACCAACATCATACATTAATGAGAAAAATGTCTGAAAAACATATATGTTTTCATTCTATTAACATTTTTCTGTACCTTTTTTTGGCACCATCACCATCATTATACAAGAACAATGATATCACTGACTGTCAAAATCAAGTCCTCTGCCTCACCCTCCTGCTATTGGTGTCACCACCATCTGAAAGTTGGGCCCAAACGCTTCGCGACTTTCCACCTCCACTACTGCAATCATCTTCACAACCTGCCAGAGTCTTCAAGAGCTCGGACTGCAGTGACGGGCAGTTTTCTTTAAGATACTCGAACCCATCAGACCGCATAACAGCTGCAACATAAATTCCAAATCAAGGTTAAGAAATAAAAAATTATGCACAGGAAATGTAATGCTACGATCAATCAATTAAACCAAGAAAATCCCAAGAACAGTTCCAAAGCATGATAAATTTTGTAATGTGCAGCAGGGCATCACGCCGTCTTACAGTCAAAGCACATTTAAACCTTCGCAGATTTCATTTCTAGAAACTTCTCCGCAGGGCACATTAGTAAAGATTAGTAGCCTCTATCCACCAAATCCTCCCTCCATCCCTTCTCACAAAGAAAGAAATGAGCCATAAAATCACTTTCTTAGCTCCTTTGCCACTGCAAATGCCTCATGTTGTTTCAATTCAAAAACAAGGTTCTCAAACATCAAGTTTAATCTTCAGAACCATGGAGAGAACAATTGGGTTGAAATTCTAGCAAAATGAAACAGAAGAGCATACAGGCATATTGAAAATAAATACCTTTCAATATTTGACTATAGTAATACGTTTTTAGGAAACAGTTAGTTACAATTTAGAAATCATCCTAGCCCCGCCGTATGTAGTAATAGATGAATGAAAAGAGATATGTAAAATACAACAAGAACTACAAATTAGTTGCGTCAATGTTGAGCTTGAAATATGTCACAAGCAATATTATCTGGAACGTGAATCATTCTGGTACATAGAACTAGGGCTGCAAACGAACCGAGCTGTTCATGAATAGCTCGTTCGACCTCGGTTCGATTAGCTAATAAACGAGCTCGAGCTAAACGTCTAAGCTCATTTGTTAAACGAGCTGAGCTCGAGCTGACTAAGGCTCGGCTCGGTAAGGCTCGCGAGCCATAGTATATAAATAAAATAAAAAACTAGGGGTTCCTTTGTGTATCAAATTCATACGCTGCTCTGCTCCTGCTTGCTACTCTTTGTAACCTACACATTCCTAATCCTATTACTGCTGCAAAACACTCAACAATACAGATCTGGCCAACACTTGAATCAATCGCACAAACTCATCAACTCTCAGACACTCAAACATCAACAACAACGGTATAGTTTCACTGCTCTGGTGAAGATCTGAGACTGAGAGATTATTCTTCTCTCTTGAATCCATTGTGGTAAGTTAATCTTCTTCTCTCTCTCTCTCTCTCTCTCTCTCTCTCTCTCTCAATCTCAACCATGGTGTTTTACATGCTCATATGCACACACAGTACACTTATTTCACTTCACCATTGACCCTTTCTCTATCCTCTCCCTTCAGTCTCCTGCTAGAGTGAAACTTTATTCATATTACATGTATACATTTGTCCCCTGTTTTTTTTTTTTTTTGATTGGTTTTTGCTCCCTGTTTTCAACATATAAATTAGGAAAAAATTACAACCTCTCCCATGATTCACTCAACTTTTAATTCAACAAAAATTCAAAATATATTAGTTAAAACTTGTATAAAATCATATGAATGAAATTGTGAAGGCACGATTTTAAAAACCTTGATACAGAATAGCAGGAACAGTGTACAAAGAGTAGCAAGTGTCGGCCAGATCTGGATTGTTGAGTGTCAACTGTTTTTTTTTTTTTTTTTGATTGGTTTTTGTTCCCTATTTTGAACATATAAATTAGGGAAAAATTACAATCTCTCCCACTCAATTTTTAATTCAACCAAAATTCAAAATATATTAGTTAAAACTTGTATTAAATCATATGAATGAAATTGTGAAGGCACAATTTTAAAAACCTTGACGATACAGAATGCTTGAAATTTTACACATAAAACAAGAATAATGAACCCATACAAGGCTTTTGAAAAACTTCAACATACATGGGCCATTTTAATTTATGAGTACAATGATAGCATTTCTTTCAAAGGAAATAATTTGGAACACCTTTCAAATTCAATTCATTAATCTCAACACCTTTTTTTTTTCCAAGAAATCATTTATTGCAGTTATGATGTTAAGACTCTGTTTAGTATTGTTTATGACTTACCTTAATTTATTTATTTATTTTAAGAGTGTAAGTTATATTGTTTGGTTCCGTTTTTATTTACCGTTTGTAAGGCAAAGATCTTTCTTTGGAAACCTCTTATAAGTAGTGAGCATGATGCACTGCCAAAACCAGAATTTGCTCTGCAATTTTGAAGATGAATTTGCATTTCAGTTTTGGATGTGATTTTAGTACTTCAATAATATTGTAGTTTATGGTGCTATTATTTTGTGCTTATCTATATGTATATATATATATATATCCATATTCAAATATGGGTCTTGGTTACATTTGTGAATAAAGATGATTTATTAATTTTGTGCTTTAACAATTTAATTTTTGTTGCTTTGTTTGGGTAATTTTCTATCTTGGTTTTACTTATTTAATACAATGGTTGGTTCAATTTTCAGTTTCTTAATGTATTATTATTATAGTTCAATTTTATATTGATTGTTAATTTATTAGTGTATTAATTTATTTGTTGCACTATTGTTATTTTTCTTAGATATGTCAGGTGACAAATTAATCTCACTTCTCTAGAGCAAGATTCTTGTACACCGTTTTCGTCATTTGAGGAGTCATCCACTGGTCCACTGATGGATACAGTTAATGACGATGCAAATGATGTAATAATTTATTTAAACTAGAGGAAAATGCAAGAGAAAATGGAGTTCCTGAAGACAACAATCCATTCCAAAAGAAGAGTAGGAAACAAACATCAAAAGTTTGGAATGAAATTAAAGAAGTGGTTCTTCCAGATGGTACCAAGAAGGCTGAATGCATGCATTGCAAAACAAGATTTGCCATTCCTTCAACGGGTGCTACAACTCAACTTCTTAGGCACTTGAACAATTGTGCTAGACGACAACTTGCTGACAAAAAGCAAAGGATTCTATCACTTGAGACAACCGGGTCTAACAATGTGACCAATGTGGCAGCCTTCAAGTATGACCAAGCAAAGGTGAGGGAAGCTGCTTCTCATATGATACTTTATCATGAATATCTTTTTATGCAAATGGAGCATGTTTTATTTAACAAGTTCATGAAAACTGCTACTCCACATTGGCAAAAGATAACTCGTACCACCGCAAAAAATGATTGTGTGTCGAGTTCTAATATAGAAAAGAAAAAGTTGAAAACATTATTGAAGAGTGTTAATAGGATTAGCATTACAACCGACCTATGGAAGTCAGGGCAAAAAATTCAATACATGGTTGTCACGGGTCATTTTATCGATAATGACTGGAAGTTGCAAAAGCGTGTTCTTAACTTAGTAGCAGGAATCGTCTCAGATGGCGACGACTCCGAGGAAAAAGTGCGATTTTGCGCTTCTGAGGAAGGATCGCATTAGAATCGCGAATCTGAGGAGAGGGAAACGCGAATCTGATGCGGGAAGGGAGCACTATTGAGAGGGCAAACGGAGTACCTAGTCGCTGGCTTCGATCCTCCGTTCGACGACTTTGATCTCGCCGTTTGACTTCCCCGTCGAAGCCCTCGTCTTCGTCCCTCTCTTCGAAGTCCTAGGTCTTCGTCTCTCTCTCTCTCTCTCGCTTCTCTCACCCTCGATCTCCTCTTCGTCTCTGTTGCGTCTCTGCTTCTCCCTCTCTCGATCTATGTTGCGTCTCTTCTTCTCCCTCTCTTTCTTCGTCTCTGTTCTCTCTGTCTCTCTCTCTTTCTTTCCCTCTTCGATTTCATTATTTTGTATAACATAATTTATCATATATAATATAATATATATAATATAATTTATAATTTATAAATTATAAATTATATTATAATTATTATATTATATATGATAAATTATGTTATACAAAATAATGAAATCAAAGAGGGAAAGAAAGAGAGAGAGACAGAGAGAACAGAGACGAAGAAAGAGAGGGAGAAGAAGAGACGCAACATAGATCGAGAGAGGGAGAAGCAGAGACGCAACAGAGACGAAGAGGAGATCGAGGGTGAGAGAAGCGACAACTAAGGTTCTTAACTTTTGCAATGTACCACATCCACACACTGGGGTTATCATTGCGGATGCTCTTCACAAGTGTCTAGTTGAATGGGACATTGAAAATAAGGTGTGTACTATAACAGTGGATAATGCTTCATACAATGATGTATGCTTGAGAATTTTGAAAGAAACCTTTGCAATGAAAAAGTTGCTTTTGGGTGGAAAATTTTTTCATGTATGTTGTTGTGCCCACATAGTGAATATCATGGTGCCTGATGGGCTTGGCCAAATAGGAGATATTGTTGATGGTGTTCGAGATGGTGTCAAGTACTTGAGTGCATCAGAAGCACGTCTTAATTAATTTAGTGAGATTGCTAAGCAATTACAGTTGCCTTCAAAAAAATTGATTTTAGATTGTCCAACCCGGTGGAATGCAGCTTATATGATGTTGTTTGCTGCTTTGGAGTTTAAAGATGTCTTCCCTAGAAATCAAGAAAGGGATCCAAGTTTTGTTTACGTGCCTAGCCTTGAAGATTGGGTGAAAGTTGAGACTGTATGTCAGTTTTTGGCAATTTTCAATGAAGTCACAAAGATGTCTTCCCTGAATATCCTACTTCTAATTTGTTCTTTGCAGAGGTTTGGAGGATAAAAGAAATATTGAATGAAAAATCGGTGAATGACAATGACTACATTAAAGGGATGGCTTTGAAGATGAAAAAAAAATTTGACAAGTATTAGGGTGAATGTAATTTGTTGATAACTATAGCTGCAATGTTGGATCCAAGATTCAAATTGATGCTTGTTCAGTTTTGTTTTCCAGAGATCTACCCAGAGGCAGAAGCTGCTAAAAACATTTCCGTGGTGCATGAGGCCCTATATGAGCTTTACAATGAATATGTTGTTATTCATACTTCAAGTAACAATGAGCAAAGTTTGCAGCAAAGCACTCGAGAAGCTAATGATTCTAATAATGCTACTTATGGTCTTGGAAAAGCTCTCGGGACGGGAAGATCTAAATTTGAATCTTTTGTTAGAAAAGCTGATACAATTCAGCCTGCAAAATCTGACTTGGACATTTATTTAGAAGAAAGTGTCTACATA